GTTTGGCCGCCAATTTTGATTTCATTTCTTTAAGTTGCACGCTCAATCCTTTTTTGGATGTTCTTTTTTTTCCCACCTAAAGTGCTTTTGATTAGACATCATGACTTTTGGTCAATACACACCAACAAACCACAGCACGTAAGAAAAAGTGACACTCGATAGTAACCAAAATTAGCTTTAGGATCCCAGAACAGGATCCCTATTATTCAGAACAGACTTTTACTTTACCGAACCAGCTAGATTTTTTAAAATATATGGTGGTAGTTTTCTCTCTAAAACAGTGTTAATAGCTTCCTTCATGGAATGTAGATTAACAGTTTCTTATCATCAGCCCATGCAATCGGTACAGCGTTTATGCTAATTGCTTAATAAGCTAATATCATATGACGCTAAACGCTCTTTAATTAGGTTAATTTCATAAAATTTAGTAACTTTATGCTAATAATCAATAATAACCGTCCACCAGTATGATTCTTTTGAAAACTTGAGCTAAAAACTGTTAATCTATTGTTACGTCTCCGTTTGTTAATTAACTTCCCGTAACTTCGTTCCGACGAAACTTTAGCGACACAAGTATTTACTTAATAAAACTGGTTTATTCTTTCCGAATATAACTTTACCGATACACTCAACTTCAACAATCGCGCTAAACAAACGCTATAACAACGAACGTCAATAATACTTCTGACTGCAGTTCAATTACTCACTGTCTACACACACATTACATTCCCGCGTCACGTTGTCCCCCTCTTTTATATACCCGACTACCCTATATCTAGTAATTACTAGAGCATTCGCCAAAGTACAGGATAGTTCTAGAAACGTGGCGTCACAGTGGTCATGTGACTCGCTGACGCAACACTATTTTGCTTGATCTAACCAATACTTATATAACTGCACGTGCTTTCACCATATAGTTTTACTGCTATAAATCAGCCGTCTTTAATCCGAATCACACACAAAAAAACTAAAAACTTTCCACCTTTACTCTTAGGTGAAGCTATAATAAAAATTTCAGACCGATAGCTCATGTGATTTTTTGCGTAGGCGTGCGCAAACATTTTGGTCAAGATTGAGTGATTTTTGTTGAATAACTTTATACCTGTGGATTATATTTATACCAAATTTGGCACCTGATTGTAGGTTTTACATAGCTATCAGTGTACCAAATTTGAAAGAAATCCATGAAAGGTAAGTAGCCCTATGTTTTTCTATCAAATAAAATTTCTGTAGTTTCGGTGCAAAGAAGAAAAAAGGGGAAAGATTCAATCAAAACTGGAGATTTTATATCTCATGTAGTTTTTTAATGGATTGCCTTTAAAAATTAGGTATATGAAGTAAGGATGTAGTAGAACACATCCACTGAAAATATGTGATGGCTTGGATTACCACAATCCGAGGTACAGCAAGTGGAAAATTGCTAAACTGTCACTTGTATTAATAAGACACAATCTGTCCTGCAGGTTGTTTTGGCCGCACGACACACTCGGTATGTCTTGATATAAAGCTTTTTAAGTGTTGTCTATATCTTCACAAACTTTGTACATGAAGTTGAAATACTATATCACTATTAGATATACACAATTGTTTCAGTATAAGTTTATTGCGAGAGTTATGATTTTGATAGTTTATATCGCGCGAGTGTTAAATTTAGTTATTTTTAGAAGCGATAGTTCATCCCAGGTTTGTTTACCTAACTGTTTACGAATCATATGTTGAATAGTTCGATTGTTGTATTATTGCGTCATTTACTACAACCTTCTGACGTTTTCTTGTTGTTTTAATTGAGTATTATTGCATCATAATATCTAGTAGTGTGGACATTCTAGACCTCTGTCGGGGTATAAATATGCGTTGTAAATTTAGTTCGATAGATAGATCTAGACTGTGTGATTGTGAGTTTAGCCATAAAGAACGTGTAATGGCGATTTTTAAAGATAAATTATTATAGACTGTATTGTAATAATAGAGTAGAGAAGAATAATTTGTCTTTTCAATTGTGTTTTAAAGTAATTGAACAAGTCTGTGTGGATTTTAACGAAAAAGTGACATTTATTTAAAGTTCTGTATATAACTGTGGTAATCAACAGTTATAGCAGTGATTTTAAAGTGAAATCGTGTTCTAAAGTAATTGAACCAGCCTGTGTGTGCTGACAAAAAAGAGGCAATAATTTAAAGCTCTGGATACAACTATGACAACCGAAAGTGTAAATAACATTTGTATATGCGTTTGACTTGATTTAATATATCATTTTAAAACAAGTGGACTGTGTGTGCTATTTATTTATTGTTGAAATTTATTGGCAACAAGTCACAGACACCAATTGTAAAGAATCTGGTCCAAACATAAAACCTAACAATCATTATACACATATAAAGCCACTAATGTTTTCTTATTTGATCAAGATGTCATGCAGTCTTCCATACTTCAACTGGAAAAACGTCATAAAGTTTTATTTATGTTGAACTAATTGTATCATAAAGTAACTGTTTGTACCCATCTAATGTTGCTGTATATAAATTAATTTATATTACTATATAGTGAAGTAAAATAGGCTCAAAATCCCATAGAAATTTAATGTAGTTATTCTTAAGTTTTGTTGTAGCTGTACTGTAGGTAAGCATGACCTTTCATTTCACTTCATAAACAATCTATTGTTTAATTATAAGAAAGAAATTTATACAATTAGAAAAACAACAACTAAATACTGTTTGTAATTAAGTGAAAGAGGAGTAGGCAAAACAAACAAATTAAAACTATCTGACTGATCCTTTTTTTCACTTCTTCCTTTTCAAAAATACTGAATAATGTTTTAAAAAATTACAAAATGTAAATCATTCACTAGTAAAATCTAATAAAAGCATTAATTTAGAATAATTTGAAACTGGTCAGCAAAATTATTCAGTATTGTACAAGCAATCAAATACTGATATTATTATTACAATCCAACTCAAATGGTTTTGGACCTGCTTCTTCTTTTATTTCTTGTTTTCTAAGACAGTACAAAAATAAATCTGTTTTTCATTAGTTACATTTAGAGAAAACTCAATGATTACATGTTTTATACATAGCTTGTTCAATATTGACCAAGAGAAGAAAATGCCTTTGTGTTTTGTCATAGTTCTATTTGCAAAGTTCAAAACTGAAAACAGATAAAATCAAAACATCATGTTTGGGTTTGTTTAAGTCAGCTGAGTGTTTAAACAATGCATTTAAGTATTTTGCTAATTTTATGTCAAAACTTTAAAGTATAAGGCATTTGCTTAGGTCTACAATATACTGAAGTGTTTTATATTTCATACATGAACTAGCAACAAATTGTGAAATTGAATCTTAGAATAACAAGAAATAAATTGGACTTTGTGGTGACTATTTTTTCAAACTCAGAGTAATAAATACGAAAGACAATGATATAATTAAAAAAAATTAGATTCTAGAGTACCCCCAAAAAATTGAGATTTGTTCTTGAAAGTAAATTAGTTTTTTAAAAGCTAAAGAGATAGGTTTGCTTACAACATTGTTACATAAGATAATGTAATCTGTGATACAACAGTGCATAAATAATGGACAGGTATTTAATAAAAGATTTGAAATTTTGTACTTTCATATATTCCATTAACCCTCAAACAAGCTTACACTACCATTCACCGTACCAATGTTTCTGCCTACCATAATGTTCAGTGTAAACTAACTACAAAACATTGTCATTAGAGAATATACAGCAGACACCAGAAAGATTTTGTTTATACTTTTTGATGTACTCATGTTTTCAGGGGCCTTGGAATCAACAATGTTATGGACCTACAAGGAATCTGGTGCATGGAAAGTTTAGATAAACGTTTTCAAACAGTCCATAATTTTATAATTAAGTTTCTCAGAACCTGATGTGTTCTTATCAATCTTCCCACTAACAGTCAAAGTTTTTTCATCACTTAATGTAAGAGAAAAGATAAAATAATTCAAACTTAAATCCTTCCCACTCACATTAGATAGATTATTAAAGGCTTGTAAACATGGAACACAGTTGTTAATTCACAAGAGTGACAAGAATTCTTCAGATGCTTAAAGTAATTTGGCAAACATTTCTTTGGCTATTACTGATGTAGAAATTTTAAGCACAATAGATAAACTGAGGATATAAGAATAATGCTGAAGTTACAATAAAATAAAAGTTACCAAAAACTAAATATGAAATGCTAGGTAAGCAGGTTACAAAAAATCTTCTTTAACTGATTCAAACTTTGCCATTTTCCAAGTAAAAATAAAATATATACTTACATCATTAACATACGCTTCGACATAATGCTTGAGGAATGTTTTTCCCTAAATGCAATGTTTTTTTTGGTACCACCATTTTGTTATTTCAAAAAAAACAAACGATATGCGATAAACATGACTGTGCAGCTACTTTCAATGTTGAAAATAGCAATAGTTCTCTCACATGAATTGATTCTGTTTTTTAACAATGTCTGTTATTGTTTACAGCTTATTTATTTTAATTTTTGTGTTATTTTGTTAAGTATAATTTTCTAATTTATCGTATGGAGTTTTGTATTATGTAGTGTAAAGAGTAATAAATACAGTGACAAACATGTAAGAAATGATTAAAAGATCATAACACTTAGTTTTCATAAAGTACTTCTTGAACATGGTCGTGTAAAAGATGCTTTTTGAACAAGAAGGTATTGACTTCTTTAATTTTTGTGGAAATATTTGTGAAAAGAGCCAAAAACAAAGATTTTGTGTGTGGAAGAAAGTGTTAAAGTATTCGTGATTGTGGTACAAGAAAAGTGCCCTTGGGTAGGAATCAATGTCATTGTAGGATTATACTTGCAATTGTGATATACCTTAACCATGTAAGTATTGCAAACGTAATTTGTTGCTATATTGGTTTCAAATAAAGGCAGAAACATTTAGCTTTTCTGCATTATATTTTTTACCAATTTCTATATATTCAAGAGTTTTATAACGACATGTTATTAGATCACGATGATGAAGGTGTTCAACAGAGACTCCTCAAATACCTTGGTGACAGGAAACTAGCTCTCTAGTCACAGGAATCGACTATGAAGTAAGATCATTGTTTATTATAATTATCTCTGTTGGTTAATTATCAATGCAGAGTAACAAAAGTGTAATGTTTAATAATAATAATAATATTTTACACTTCAAGTACATTGACTTTCTTCTCTATATTCATGGAGAGACCTCTGACTATTATTGTCTCATATATTCTTTCTCCTGGTAGCTCAGAAATAAGTCTGATGGTTTTAACACTTAAAACCAGGTTTTGATACCCATGGTTTACAGAGTACAGATATCCCATTTTGTAGCTCTGTACTAAATAACAAACTTATCTATCACGTCCTGCATACAAAGCAGTGATGTTTGTCATTATAATTTATTTTATGTATAAAGCTGCCTCTTGAGCCAAATAACCACATTTACATGCATTGCACATGCTCAAAATAGTACCTGCCTTATCCTACAATCCAGGATTTCATTCGCTCTTTGCCACTGCAACTGTACAATCTACTTGCTCAAATTTTGCTTTTTTTTTCCAGCCAAGGCCTTAAATGTCACAAAATAGAGACTTCAAGTAACTAGCTTCAGTATCTTCTATATAGCTTTGTATTTAAAAATCATCAAGCACTTGTACCATCTCCTTTTTATTTTCAATGACTTCTTCTCTATGAATTGCAATTTTCATATTTCTAAGAGTTTGACTTCTGCTCTTGTTTTAAATGTAAATTGAGCCATTATTTTTCTCAGGCCTTTTTAATTTCATGTTCTTTTTAAGAGTATATCATGGATGACTAGAATGCTTATGGTCATAGGTGTTCAGCTAGCCTTCTTTTGGTGACTTGATTATTAGAAAGCCAACATAAGGGCTACTTATTTTTCTTTTGGAATGTCCATTTTCCTGTTTCTCTTCCACAGGATGATGCTGTTCTTGATTCCATAACTGTCAGCTACTTGTCGTTCTCTTTGTGCTATTGGAATTTCTTTGACGTTGTCTTCAGCTTTTATTCCGCTTCTCAGATTGGGTGTACTGTTTGTATAAATTACTTCACTGAAAGTTTTACATAATTTGCCAGAGCATTCCCAGTTTTTGTGCCATATTCTCATATACTTGAATGCCGAACCCAAATCTAAAAAAACTTTTATTCAACTCAGTATCTGTTTCTGTTACATTTTTGATGGGTGATGACTCATCTTGGGCATATCATATTCTTTACACCATTATGTTATTCTATGGTTCTAGCTTTACATCTGTTACAGATTAGTTGTTCCAACCATTTTTGTTTGCATCTTTCACTATGATAGGCTGAAGTTCTGGCTCTGTTTTTTCTTTCTTGACAACTATGTATATCCATCTTATTACAAGGATGTTGTTCTTTGAAATAGTATACATAAATGCAGAGATATCTACTTAAGACTAATTTTGATAATACAAATGCTACAATGTTATTATAAAAATTTTCACTTTTACCCTATTTTACTGCCTTTTGCGAATCATTCAATGTAATAGAAAAGCTGTTTTTAAAATTGAAATTTTTTTTTGTGATATTTATTGCATGAATTTTTGTGTTCTAAGTTCAAGTAGACAAGGTAAATTACAATATCTAACTATAGTTTAATAAGAGTGTGAAATAATCTTTTACTGTTTAAAACTTTTTATTGATTTAAAAACAATTATCACCCTATATTTTATTCATACACTGGTACTTGGTGCCACTTTTGATTTATTTAGTAGAGTATAATACTTTGTCATTAGTAAATATAAAAAAAGTCAACTATCAATGCCATATTTTCAACAGAAAACAGAAGATTTAGCAAAGATGTTAGTGGTTTTAGAAGATCAGACAGAACTATACTTGTATACAGTGGGTGGGACCTGTAATTCATTGGTGATATTTTAGAATACTGTTCTTTCAAATAATGCATCATCTCTTAAAATTATAAAATTCTTTATACCTATGTTTCAACTGTTCAAAGGAGAAATGTGAAATTATACATTACAGACAAAACATTTCTGAAACAATATAGAAAATAAAAACAATTCTGATTGAATAGAGCATTTATAATAAGGCATTTTACTTTAAACAGTGACTCTTAAGTTTGTTAACTTCTTGGGAAAAAAATTATAATTTACACAGAATTGTAAAAATATATTTTTGAAGTTCAAGTTCTAGACTTACAAAAAATAAAGGCTCAATTATGTATAAAATATAACTAAGAGTACCACGTTTGTACACAGGACTTAGATTAAGACATTGTACTAATACAATATTAAACTAATTCATTCACATTGTCATGCATGTTCCAAGTTAAAGAAATGGGTGTCTTTTGTGGTATTAGTTGTTCCAAACTGGTCTCTGAGATGCTTAGATTTCTTTTGAGAGATTCTCTAGTCTTTTGTTATTTACTTTTTAAGCTCTGCATTTATTTTATTTCTATATATATATATATATATACCTATGTTAATAAAACAACACCAGAGTAGACATAAAAGTGTTTACTTGATGATGTGTACCTTACAGATAAAAAAATTCTTATGTGCAACACAAAACTATATTGTATGTTACCATGGAAACATATATGTCATAGAATTATATAAATATATATATACATTTAGTTATTCATTTATTCTCATTGTTTACCCCTAATCTATCTAATACTTACTATTTATTTGTGATAATTTTCTATGCCTGTCTTCAGAAGTTCATCTGCTTAATATTTCTTTTCCAGTCAGTCTCCACGTTTCACCTTTATTTTACTTTAAGTATAGTTTATTTTATTTCATCAATCATCATGAAGAGAATAAAAATATAATTTACTGTAAAAAAATATTCTGTGTATTGTTGCTTGCACAAAGAAGCTTAATTTGTTTAGGGTATAGCATTTATGTATGTTTTTAGTTCGAGGTATTTTGAATAGCTAAAATTAAAATAATGTGTTGGATATTTTAAGGCAAGTACGGATATACAATGTGTGCCTAAACAAGTGTTAGGGCCTTTCATTACACAGTTATAAGAAATGGTACTCAAATAGGTTTTAAATAAGTGTATTAAACAGAAAACCGCTGTCGTGTCTCTGGTTGTTAGTGAATAAACATTTGCTGTTGTGAAGAGGGCTTGCCCTAGTGAAAATCGTAACATAAGGATGTGTACCTAACTATTCACCTTTCTATCTACCTACACTCCCACCTATTCACATAACTATCTATCTATCTAGTATGTGAGTCGGGAGGGAGGTAAATGGGTGGATGTGTGATCCACCTGTCTTATCTACTCACCAATTCATCCGTCTATCTATCTACACTCCCACCTATTCACATAACTATCTGTCTATCTAGGCACACATCCACCCATTTACCTCCCTCCCGACTCCCATATCCACCTGTCTTATCTACTCACCAATTCATCCGTCTATCTACCTACACTCCCACCTATTCACATAACTATCTGTCTATCTAGGCACACATCCACCCATTTACCTCCCTCCCGACTCACATATCCATCTGTCTTATCTACTCACCAATTCATCCGTCTATCTACCTACACTCCCACCTATTCACATAACTATCTATCTATCTAGGCACACATCCACCCATTTACCTCCCTGCCGACTCACATATCCATCTGTCTATCTACTCACCAATCCATCCATCCGTCTATCTACCTACACTCCCACCTATTCACATAACTATCTGTCTATCTAGGCACACATCCACCCATTTAACTCCCTCCCGACTCACATATCCATCTGTCATATCTACTCACATATCCATCCGTCTATCTACCTACCCTCCCACACATCTGTCTATCTGGTAGAAGCGAGTTAGTGTGTTAGAATTGCACCGAGACACGTGATGTCATGTGAGATTATTAATGCACATCTGGGATTGCGGTCTCATGAGCGGTATTTCTTTGGAATAGTGCACTTTACGTAGTACTAGGTAGAAAAGTAGAGCAGGCGTGGCTCTAATGGAACGCTCGATATACTACGACAGTGAAACGCTCTTCCAACCGACAAGTTTTCTTACTTATAACTCTGTGTATGATACATTACCAGTGTTTTAGGCAAATTTTTATATTGCTTTATGGTTGTGGACTGTATACCGCCGTCTTATCGAGAAATATAGGTGGTGTTATAAATAAATAAACTATTTGTTCAAGAAAGTTTATATTTGTTTACCTGACATAACATTCCGTAATTTACTAAAGTAAATGTATTGTTTGCTTTAAAAAAACCCGCCAAAAATCTACTACTGATCATAATGTGTGTTTGAAGCTTCTCAAAAGCATCAGAATTTGTTTCATCTTTTAATAAAAAAAACCTGAAACGTTTTATACAAATAATCACGGAATTTATTACCGATGTTATTAATCAGTCTGTATACCGGAGTATAGGAGGAAGACAAGTATGATAGCTTTACGTTTGTCTTCCTATTAAATTCCACCGTATCTCTAACCCTAACGTTTCTCCTCTTCACCAGCACTCTGTACCAAGGAACTTTCAGTTACATTCGTACTTCAAGCCGTCTTCTTATTCTCTTCCCAGAGCTTTTTGTTGGCTACATTCTCCACGCACGTGCAACATCCATCCCGAACTTGCGCCAAACCGACAGCAGCCGCACCTGTCTTTGTGATGCAGTGACTGTTATTTCCTTCCCCCCGTTTTCTTGGTAGCTAGGCGTCTGTAGATACGGGAGTTTGAAGTGTAACTGTAATATTTCACTTGTGGTGTGGGGAGTGGACTGTACGTAAGACAGAATCAGTTCTTATATATATGTAGATTTACACGTCTAATGTCTTGAGTTGCGTTGTGCATGGAACACGAGACAACGCCACCTGTCTCTAGGTGGTGGGTGTCGCCCCAGTTGTCAGTATTCAATCCGTTGTATAGAAGACATTTTTTGAAAGTTCCGTAGGAGCTGTTAATAAGAAACCATGTCGGAGAACGTCGAGTAGTTGAGTGTTAGCATTTAACAGTGTCATGATTGACTGGGCGTCCTTAGTGCGCGGGTCCCACCGCCGATTTTCTGGACGTATGTATATGCTACCCAATAATATGCACCTTCGAAGAAAGAAACACCTCCACGGCTTATCTCGAGTTGAACTACCCCCCAAAATCACCCTTTCTTCAATCTGCACTTGTTGTCTGCCTAAAAGAGTAAGTTAAAATAATACAAATAAACACGTGTATTTTCTTGAAACCCCATTTTAATTAGTTAATTCTTATTTTAAACAGAATTTCGAGGTTTTGTTGCAACTAATAATTAATTTCAATTTAATAATTGAATAAATAAGACAACATTTCCAACGCGTAGATAGTTTTTGACATAAAAAAATTAACGTTCATTCTTGTGTCTCAACAGTTATATCGCATTTTTGTATTGATTTGTTTGTTTATATATATTTGTTCGAATCCCGTCACCGAAAATGCTCGCCCTCTCAGCCGTGAGGGCGTTATAATGTGACGGTCAACCCAACTACTCCTTGGTAAAGAGCAGCCCAAGAGAGGTGTGGGGGGTGGATGGTGGTAACTAACTGCCTTCCATGTATTCTATCACTTTAAAACTAGCAACTGCTAATGTAAATAGCCCTCGTGTAGCTCTACACGGAAATGACTAAACCTACAAGAGATTTGTTATAGTATTTTTGAACAGTATTCCAAAATATTAAATTCTATAAATGCCTTTTCATGAGCTTTAGAGGTCATTGTTTTGTTTGCTTGTTAAGATATTTTAATAATGATAATTAATTGTTTCAGCATATAAAGACACGGAACAATAAACAACCCGTTATAGAAGTATTATTTACTGTGCTTAGGTCTCTGAATATTGAACTTTTATTATCCACGTATTTTATGCCTACTCTCAAAACATTCCAGATTTGTGTATAAGGTTTACTCGTAAAAATTTATATAATTTTACCAAAAAAAACTTTTTCTAGTGATGGCTGCAAATTATCAAACGAAATGAAAACACTTAAGTCGATGGAGTGATGGGGGGGGGGGGCTAGCATGGCTTGGTGGTGACTTGGCTTGGCCTGGTGGTTAGGGCGTTCGACAAGCAACCTGCGGGTCGTGGGTTCGAATCCACGTCACACCAAACATGCTCGTCCTTTCAGTCGTGAGGTTTCTATAATGTGATGGTCAATCCCATTATTCGTTGATAAAAAAGTAGCCCAAGAGTTGGCGATGGGTGATGTCGACTAGCTGCCTTCCCTCTAGTCTAGCGCAAATAGTCCTCGTGTAGGTTTGCGCGAACTTCAAAACAAACCGAAACTAAGTCGGACTTAGTTTTTAAGCCCATGTTTTAACTTCCAGTCATTGTCCCCGGACGAAAGATGGGAATAAGGATGATCAAGAAACGACAGAACACTTTCGAGGACCCCGCGGAAGTACATCTAGTCTATAATAAAATAATTTACAAGTTCTATGATTCTTTTCAATATTAAATAAGTTAATTTTGCAGTCTAAAGTAAAACGGTTGGACTATTTAGATTTTGTGCGTGTGTGTGATATGTAAATTTAACACGATTAAGGGTTATGGGGTTTCGTATTTTTGTCTAATCGATTTTTTTAACCTAACATCACGGATTTAATGATACATACTTGATATATGTGTAAAACATTGCCGGTTAAAATCACTACCAACGGAAAAATCTTTTACATGATTAAATTTACTTCGAAACATTTGTCGTGACATAGAACTTAAAACTATAATTATGCATTTATATATACACTGTGGTGTAGCCCCTGGTGTGTTATTTTTACCTCACAACACCAGTGTTGTGTAATAAAAATATACTTTACATTTACTTCAATTTGTTGGAAAGGCTTAGAGTTTCTAAAAGGTATTTTAAGTTGAGGTCTTCCTATATACATATGTGTGTGGTGATAGTTGAAAATAAACAGAACTTTAAACAGAAGAATGATTGCATTATCTGATTCTATAAACATCATATACATAAGCTGAGAAACATCATATCGCACAAGTTTTCCAAGTCGTAGTTCGTACTTGATTTATGTCAAACATATACTTACTTTTGGATTCGCCTTGTGTGACATTATATCACAATAAGACTGATGATATGTACAACAATCAATTAGCATAAGGCTATACCATGCTATACTCACTGTGCGTTTGAATAAGTAATATACTTTGTAGTTTCTTATACTTACCTAGCAATTACCTTTCATTTACATTTGATTGGTTTTAGTGCAAAGAGGACTCTGATACTGTTACGTGAAACAGACTTTCTTAATGGCCTAACCTCGTGAGATATTATTGGGATTACGGCCGAAAATATCGTTAACGGCGAGAGTACCCAACTGACGAAACCCCGCATTCTAGTCTTTGTAAGTAGCAACGTCAGAAAAGTATCTTTAATTAGCAAGCTATACTCATTATCAGGTTGCCTTTCAGTTTCGCTTGCACTGATCGAAAGTTAATATTAATTAGCACAATTTATTCCAATCCAGAAAAGTATCCCTATTTATATTTTTGCCTCTTTCTCTCTCTCTCTTATATGTCTTCAGAATACACTGAGACAGCAATTCTAAACAAATCTGAATTATTTTCAATACGTCTTACTTCAGTATTATCTTCAAGTTTAGTAACAACCATAACTTACCGTAGGCATAGCGGCTTGATTTTGACTGGAGGGCGGGGGGAGCAAGTTTTGCCCGAAAATATAAAATCGACCTTAAACTCATGTAATATATGCCCACCACGGGTATCGAAATCCGTACATATATTTAACTTTTAGATTTTCAAATTGATTATGTCTTTTCAGAAAATATATTACCCACACGTGACATTTTTTAACACTTTTTTACCCTTTTTTACTGCACCTTTTTAACCCTTTAACGCCGTATGGTTCCGCATGAAAGTCATTGGGACAATTTTTTTCAAGCGACTTTAAACCTAATAACGAGATCGACTGTCAGTTTTTCTTTGGATATGAGAGGAATGGCTTCGTAGTTAAAATACCAGACTATGAATTCGAGAGTCCATGGTTCATGTCCTATTGCCGTAAAATCACGCTCCGTACTTCAGGACCATGGGAGCGTTATGAGAGTGACGGTCAAATCCCACTGCTCGAATAAAGTAGCCCCAGAGTTGACTTTGCGGTGCTGTTAAGTACTTGCTTTTCCTCTAGTCTATCAGTTCAAAATAAGGGACGTCTAGCGCGATAGCCCTTGTGTAGCTTTGTGCTAATATCCGAATCGAACCGCCATTTTTATAACTTGCCCAAAGCGAAAAGTGTTGAGGGTATTCAGCGAAATCATTATCGAACTCTGGACCTCCAGATCCGCTGCCCGACACTTTAACCACTAACTAACATTATTTCACAAACTATCAAGATGAGCATTACAATCCAGAAAGTATTGTCGAAGATACTCTAACTATAAAACAGTGTTGCTGATTATATATATCGTAAAATGATGTTAAATTATATTCATGTTCAACTGTGAATTTAGTGTTTAGATATATTTATACAAATTGTTTGTTTGTTTGTTTGTTTGTTTGAAGTTAAGTACAAAGCAACACAATGGGCTATCTGTGTTGCGGTTTGAAGAGTCAGACAAAGTCCCTATTGCAGCGAGTGTTGTTGAAGGACTGACTGACTTCCTTCTGGCTATGTAGCTCACGTGCACACAGGGTTCTATTCAGGTTGAAAAGTCCTAATCCACTTTTGAAGAATAGAGCTTCTAGAGTTGGGAGTAGTTACATTTGGTTGCATGCAGATGAATTACGGTAAGTCTGAGGGCGCACACTGCTAAAAACCGCACAAATAGTCCATTGTGTAGCTTTGTGGTTAACAAACAAACGAATCACGATCGAAATGTCGCTTCAGACAGTTTACCCAGCTTCATTTATCTTTGCTAATTTGGAGACAACGCTCCGAACTGCTACCGCAGATTCTCACAACATTCAGTATATTCCGAGACTCTGTGAATTTTGTGACATTTGTTGATAACAGTTTTGGATTTTAATTGATAAAGGTTCATATCTTTTAATTAATTGTACGTTAATTTCACTGTAGACAGGGGGGGGGGCAGAGTTCCACAAGTATTTTAATTGATTAATTTTTTGAGGGAGAGTGGAACCGCGTCTATTATTATAAAACATACTCACTCACCTCTATTTTAGCTGTTCCACTATACTGTGTAAGAAATTCACTAAGTAACAATAGAGGCGTAGCCGTTTGTTAAAAGTTTTTCGAATCTTGAAACAACAGTTTATCATTGTTTCAGTTGACCAAGTATAGCCTTGTTTCGTTTAATGACGAATTCGCAGTGTTGGTGCTGATTTCATTCCACCTTATGACGAGTTCACAGTGTTGGTGCTGACTTCATTCAACCTTATGAGGAGTTCACAGTGTTGGTGCTGATTTCATTCAATCTTATGACGAGTTCACAGTGTTGGTGCTGATTTCATTCCACCTTATGACGAGTTCACAGTGTTGGTGCTGATTCATTCCACCTTATGACGAGTTCACAGTGTTGGTGCTGATTTCATTCAATCTTATGACGAGTTCACAGTGCTGGTGCTGATTTCGTTCCACCTTATGACGAGTTTACAGTGTTGGTGCTGACTTCATTCCACCTTATGAGGAGTTAACAGTGTTGGTGCTGATTTCATTCAATCTTATGAGGAGTTAACAGTGTTGGTGCTGATTTCATTCAATCTTATGACGAGTTCACAGTGTTGATGCTGATTTGACACTTTACGACAAGTTTAGTTCAACGAAACATACCTTTAAGCTGCTCTTTTGATTTTAACATCATTCATTTTGCATGATTTTACGTGGGACTCATCTTTACTTATCCGCCGCTTGTTCAGGGGGTGTACAGGGGAAATTCCCCCTGTGCAAAAAAAAAAAATTCCCCCGGAAATATTTAAACGATATTATTTAAAGTACAGTATCTCCCATTTCGTAGAATCTGAATTTGAATTAATCCCCTTACCACCCGGTGGAAAGGTCTGGATTCAACACTATCAGTTATGCAATGTAGATGTTTACTTGTTAATAAGGCACCATTAAGTCAAGTGAACAGTCGGAACTTTCTGCCAGTTTATTACCACGTAATTAAATTCGGCATAATTAACACTTTAAACACCAGTAATTAGCCTAAGTGAAAGCCACGTGACAGCTATT